GAAAGGGGTTATGGAAACACAGAGAGAAGCTCCCCATCTGCTCTGAATCCCTGCGTTTACTCTTCAAGCCAAGGTGCTTGTTTGGTAACGTGCATACATCTGACACTTCTTGGCCATCATGGTGAGGAATCGCCTGAAAACGGTGGCTTAGCCGCAGGCCTTACCGGTCCTTGTTCAGGGCAGGGGTGTTCAGAGAGACTAAAATTGGACGTTGGCAAATGGGGAGGCGAGAGTTCTGTTCCTGGCTATTCCTGGAGTTCCTAAGGCATCGGAGAGCTCGTCCTCCTTTCTGTGGAGGGGTTTCATTTTGAGCTACGCTCCTGCTGGAACCAGAGGCATCCCTGAAAGCTGCAGCTGCCTCCAGGTTTCGGCAGAAGAGGTTCTGTGCAACATCTAACACACGTGGCTAGAAAGCTGCGTTTTCCAGTTCCTCCAAACGGAGGAGGCGGTGGGTCCTGTGGGACCCATAGGCTTTGAGCGAGTCCGTGTCTAATCTGCATACGGCGGGCACAGGAAGCGCGTCCATTTTGCTCTTCCCTCTGTGCAGACTGAACGTAGAAAAGCGCAGGACGTCTGCGCGCTGAAACATCTGCGCTGGACTTTCTGTGGGCGCTGCGCGGCACTTAGAGCCTCGGCCGTCCTAAACGGCGGCGAGGAGGGGTCCCTGAACCGTCCCCGCCCTGCCCCGACAGGGCCGTGCTGGGCGGGAAACCGGCCAGAGCAGGAGCTGAAAGCAGAGCCCTCGTCTCGCTTGTCCCGGCTCGAATCGCTTTCACGGTCGGAGCTGGAGAACCTGTGGGTTTTCAGGGAGCTTCCGTGTCCCACGCTGACATAAACCAGTAAGCCGTACGTTACTCCCCGGCGTGCCGGCGCTGCTGGACTTCCACTGCTTCCCACGCACCCGAGTCTAGCGAGGGCTGGCTCTCGTTCTGACGATCCCTGCGTATCAGAGTTTGATTTCCTGGAGTTTTTCGGAAGCGCTGGGATCCAGATGCAGCGGAAGGTGTGCGCAGGTGTTTTGAAACCCTCCTTGCTTCTCTTTCAGAGCGCTGGATGACATCAGGGAAAGCATCAAAGAACTGCAGTTCTACAGAGATAGCATCTTCAAGAGGAAAACGGATGAAAAGAAGAGGAAGCTGATAGAGAACGGAGAGAGCGATAAAGGCGCCAGCTGATTCTCGTCCCACCACGCCGTCCCGTGGCACGTGCTCAATGGGCCTCCCGGTTCTTTTCTGTTCGCCGGCCTCTTGAGAAGCTGCACCCTTCAGTTACCCCGTTTCTTAACAGCTGTTAAAATGCGGGTGGAAGCCCGAGTTACCGCTTCTTTTCTGTTTGAGCAGGGAGTCGACACCCCCGAGTCTCAGCAGCTCGCTCCTTCGTACGGCCTAGGTAGGACTCGCCGTTTGATACTCCTCTTCGTCAGGTTATAGATGCGGTCTTTCACTACACAATAAAACCAGTTCTGTTGAGCGACGGGGTTTTCCTACAGCCCTTCTTTTGCGCTCGCCGCAGGCTGCTTGGTGAACCAGCCGCTCGTAGCTTTGCGAAGGACGACGCTCCGGGAAGTCGTTCTCGGTGCGCAGCAGGGGCGCGTGCGGCCCTTGCCTTGGTGGGCGTTTCACAGGAACGTCCTTTTGTGCGACGCCTGCCTTCGGAAAGGGCTCCAAGTTGCGCGCCGGTGAGTCCGGTAAGGCACGCCAGGGAACCCCCGCCCTGTATCTCCAGCGCAGGCGCTGCGATGCAGGTCCCCGAGCTGGCCGCGGCGCTGGGGCGAGCCCTGGTTTGCCGTACCCAGCTACCCCGTGGGCAGCGCCTGCGCGAGAGGGAGCGGCACAGCCGCCGGTGGGTGGCGTTTCAATTTAGAAAAGAACTCCGAAGCGCTGCGGGTCCTTTGTGTCAGGGCGGAAGGTACCGATGGGGCGGCGGTGTCAGCCTTTGATAATCCCTTTGGAAGCGCCCGGCCCGTAACGCTTGCTGTCTTCACAGCACGCTCGTGAGAACGGAAAATAGGGAAATCTGCTTCCGTGACCTAAACAGACCCGTGGGTCAGGTTTACGGCGAAAGCCTCGCTGCCTGTGAGATGTGCAGCCTGGGAAAAGCGAAACACAAAGGGAACGGCTGTCGGGAGAGGGGCCTGAACTTTTCTCTGTGAGTAGCGCGTCC